AATATTTAAAGAGTGTGCACAATGTGTAGCAATGAATCCTTTTCCCCTTTCTACATTTGGAAAACTCGATTTTGCAACACAGGAGGGAAGACGGTCGCAGAAGTTTCAGAGGCTGTTTCAGAGGCTGAGCGGCCCCCCCGCTGCGCTTTGGGCCGCAGGTACCTCGATGAGGGCCTGGCTGGCGTCCTGGCTCAGCCGCGGCAGGACGGTGCTGCGCGCGTAGGCGATGTAGTCCCTGAGCACCGCCATGTCCATGACCTCCTCCTGTGCCTGCTCCTCGCTCCGGAAGTACAGGGACACCAGGTGGTGAGCCAGACGCCGGTCGTACGCTTCGTCCTGAGGGTCCAGCATGAGGAAGATCAAGTCAAACCTGAGAAAACATCGTGAACAGTTTGCCATCAGCTGGGACACCCACGTACCTGTGCGTGGACCGCGGGGCCCGCAAGGGAGGCAGGCGTGTCCTGCCCAGGCGGCCTGAGGAGTCCGGGCCTCTGGTTCCCCCAGCCCGGCCCCGCAGGCCCCTTCTGCCCGGGAATACCGGGTACTGAAAGCTGAGCCAGAAGCAAGATGCTCCCAAGGGAAATGCTGCTGTAATTCTGAAGACTGGAAGATGCGAATGAAAATACATTCAACTCTTTTGGGGAGAAGGAACTACCTGTTAGAACAGTCAAGAATCAAAGTCTAAACATATCTATCTTTGAGAAAAAGTATGGACTACGTGACTCCCCTTCCACGAGTTTAATTTTCAGACCCTTATCTACTGCGTAAAACCGCTCTCTGCACTTTGTTGATTCTCTACAGCAGCTTTAAGACAGAGAGCAGCGAGAGGCAGGTTTCTGAAAGGATGAAGGTGAAAGGCCCTAATTGCTCCAAAAAACAAGTACGCATCAAGGTGAGCAGAAAAACACACCGTCCTTGCCTGGAAAACCCGTGACCAAGCAGATGTGCAGACTTTGCGTTGGTCTGAAGAGTTTATGACATCAGCTGGGCTCTGCCTTCTATTTCCTTCTCAAGCTCACCCTGAACATTCCACAGATGAGCCAAGTGAGACCACCTATTCTATGAAAACGTGTTTTCGTACCTTGACAACAGTGTGTGGGGCAGCTGGATATTCTCAATGGTGGTTTTTTTCGGATTCCACTGAGACTCGATAGGGTTTGCGGCTGCCAGGATGGAGGTGCGGGCGTTAAGCTGACAAATAATCCCAGCCTGGCAGAGGGACAGTGTGGTTAGAAACCTCGCCCCGAGGCCGGCAGGAACTGGGAGCCACCCCCGCCCGTGCGCCCTCTGCCAGGGATCCACTGTCACCATGAGCCACGTCACCCGGCACAGGTGACTTCTGCACAGGCGCCCCCTGGGGACAGCCCTGAGCGCTGAGTCAGGCCAAGGACCGAGCTGGAGATGAACGTTTGCTGCGACTGCGTCTTCTTCAGTAACCAAACCCCTTGCATTAGGACAAACTCAAGTTCTAGGAGTACCACACGTGAGAGGGTTAGGACAGCACAAAGGAGGAAAGAGGATCCTGTGGAAAATACTCAGACTGAGCTGGGACCTAACAGGAGAAGTGCTGGCCAGTTTCCCAAGCTGCAGGTTCCACAGATGCTGAGGTTCAAGCCCCCAGACACCCCAACTGTGTCCACGCCGGGACAGAATGGGTGACTGACCTTGGCGATGGAGAGCGTCTGCTGCTCCATGACCTCGTGCAGCACAGAGCGTGTGCTCTCGTTCATCTTGTCGAACTCATCGATGCAGCAGATGCCATTGTCACTCAGCACCAGGGCGCCGGTCTGCAGCACGAGCTGCCGTGTCTCAGGGTCCTTCATGACGTAGGCGGTGAGGCCCACGGCGCTGGAGCCCTTCCCGGACGTGTACTGGCCCCGGGGGACCAGGTTGTACACGTACTGCAGCAGCTGGGACTTGCTGGTCCCTGGGTCCCCGCAAAGCAGGATGTTGATCTCGGCGCGGAACTTGCCCCTTCCTGTGTGGCTGAAATCCTTTCTCGTCCCGCCAAAGAGCTGAAGCAGGATTCCCTGGACGGGCGGACAGACAGACAGATCTCAGTGCTCAGATGGACAAAGGGCGACAGATCAGAGGACGGGAGCGGCTGCGAGTCAGCCCTGGGGCACGGATGCCATAGAGGCCCGGACCCCACCCACCCCACGGCGGCTCCTGTGCCTGGAAATGAGACGAGGATGCCGACCATTCTCGTCACCAACAGCCAAGGCAGGCGGCAGGCCCTGCTCGGCCCAACGGGCCGAGGCTCAGCCTTTCCGGGGTGTCCACACTGTCTGACCCGAGAGCTCTCAAGCCCAGCCGCAAGTGAGAAGCCCATCAGTCAGTTACCTTCTTTATATCTTCATGTTCATAAATGCTCGGAGCCAAGGCAGAAGCGAGTCTCTCGTAAATGTCTGGTTTTCTGGAAAGCTCCTTAAGCAATTCCACACGCTTCTCTGAAAAAAGTTTCTGCTCTGCTTCTTCGTCGAGGCCGTGCAGACGCTTCGAGTCGGTTTTCCGATAGTGAATGACGTCGATGTGGGTTTTGTAGACAGACTTTACGTTGCTCACTCTGGGATTGACGCGAATGGGGACCGCTCGGTAGATGCCTGAGGGCACAAAGGACACACTCTCACCTGCCCGACCTCGGCCTGGAGCATGGGGGAGGCAGGGCTCTGGGGGGCTCCAAGCAGAGCCAGCGAGGTTGTCCTGGGACCACTGCCTCCACACGTCACCTGCTCACCTCTGTGTTCGATGCATCGCAGTTTGAAACAGAAGTTTCATTTCTCTTAAACCCAAAGTAAGGGATTATCAATAACTACCTGAAAGAAAGTACCTAAATCCCGCACCAAAAACCTAGAAAGAAAGGAGACCTGAAGAGCTCAAGTACTGAAGGTCGCTCACAAGTTACTTCAGACAATAACAGGGAGACAGCCTGCCGTCTGGGCAGGGGCCGCGGCGGAGGTCAAAGGCAGGCGCTGGGAACAGCAGCCCCAGGCCAGGCACCCCCGACCAGGTCACAGGGCTGACTCCGGAGCCCCTCACCTGTGACGTGCACTCTGTCCCCAGGCTGGACCTTGTCCACGAGGTCATTGTGAGCGGCAAGGACGACCGTGTGTGGTGTCTGCCCAGCGGGCATGTCTTCAGGGGACTCCTGGAGCTTGATCTGAGAGGGTGGGGGGCAGATGCCTCAGGACAGACCCAGAGCCCTGCCCACCCAGCCACTCCGACAGCAGCGCCTCTGCTGCCCCTGGGACCTTGCTGTTTCCACCTCTGGAAACCCAGCCTGGCGCGCATTCTGAGGCGGTTGTTCGTTTAGAGGCTGCCCCACGTGGGGGCGGGGATGCCAGGGCTGTTTTTCCCCGTCTTAAGACTGTGGCGGGCACGTCTGCATCCACATCGGCCTGCGTTTCTAGTTCCTTCCAGACGCTGCCCCCAGTGTGCTTCTGGGTGGAGAAGCACCCCCCATTCAGGTCACCGTGCCTCCCAAACTCTTGCCTGTCCTCCTGGTGACATCGACTCACCCACAGCACCTGCCGAGCAGCTGCCAAGCTCCGTCCCGGGTGCTGGGGACTCTGCCCCAGAGCGGAGGGACACACACAGTCCTGGCAGTGCCAGGGCACGGTGGCAGAAGAAGACAGGAGGGAGCAAGGGGCCGGGGTGGAGGCTGCGCTTCCCACTGTCAAGGGCAGGGAAGGCCATTCTCAAACCAGGTGACCACCGGGCAGAGGAGAGGCTGTCAGGGAGGGGCCACGTGCTCTCAGCGACAGGACAGCAAGCGCAAGGGCCCCGAGGTGTCCTGGAAGAGCTGGAGGACGGCAGCGAGTCTGCGGGCAGAGCCTCGGAGCACCCAGGCCCAGGAACTGGTGCCCACGTGCGGAGAAAGCTTCTCACCTCGATGACCCTCCCATCAGCAAGGAAGTGGACGCTTTTCACATGCGTTAGTGTTCTCCTAGTGACTCCCAATAAGGGAAACTATCTCTTGTCCTATACCCTGAACTCATTCTCTCCACTTAAAGTTAAGATTGCTTAAACATTAAAACAAATCAAAAAATTCTTCACTCCTCATGCATACTTTATACCATTACAATTGCAGTAAACAAATGGTTTTCTGCGTTTCTCTGGCATTTTAATCTGCATCTTAAAATTTTTCATGAATAAAGAGCTACAAGGTCGAACTCCCTAGGCAATAGTTTGTGAGAAAAACTTTGGCAAAACTTCTCAGCCCATATTCTTTACCAGTGGTAGAACTGCCAAATGTCAGAATTTAATCAAACGGTGTTTACTGTTCTTAACGTATATATACACTCTTATATCCTACAATCTTAAGTATTTCCCATAGAAGCATCTCGTGTTAAATTTGACTTAATAAATCACTGAATGACACTGAACTTAAGATATTCAGTTGGAGAATGCACTCCTCCCCTATGACAAGCGTGGAACATAGCGCACGGGTGCCCATGGGCGGCGGTACAGCAGTGCTGCTGGCCCAAGGCTGGGGCCTCAGGCACACCGAGTGCCCAGCTTCGCCCTCTAACACACCTGCTCTCCAAGGAGGAATGAAGCTGCTCAACCCACCAGGAAGCATGGTTTCAGGGCTGCATGAGTGGACAAGTTACACCTGGCTTTTGAGGACCTGGCTGGGGCAGAAGGAGGATGGGGCACGTGGAGGGGGTCAGGGGCCACACACCATTTGCTTGTCGGAGAAGACGGAGCGGTTGTGGATGAGTGCCATGCTGTGGCTGGTGTGGCAGCGCTCGCACACGCAGGGCTCGGCGATGCGACCGCGGTCTATCTCCACCCGGACCGTGTGGGCGCACACCTGGCACTGGAAGAAGGCCTCCTGCATCTCTGGAATCAGCTGGGACGTCCTGATCACCATGCCGCTGATGGCGATGAGCTGGTCGATGTCTGCAAGGCGGGGAGAGAGGGCAGCTTGTCCCGGCTGGGCGTGGGCCTCCCCAAGCTGGAGGCCAGCTTGGGGGGGGGGTCTGGCTCTGCTGTCCAGCCCGGAAGAACCTCACTGGAGGAATGGAGGTGCTGGGATGGTGGGGGTCACAGGGAGACGCTACGGCCAGAGCACAAACATCTCGCTGGGTATCCTCAGCCCTGGCCTGGGATGCCCCTCCTGTGACCAGTGTGCTCCTGCTCAACCCCTTAAGTCTACTGACCCTTGCCGAGCTAGGCCGACCCGAGGCTGCCTGGGGACGACCGGACCTGTGAAGTGGCTGTCACAGTCCATGCACTTGCGATCATCTTCTCCATAGCCACGCCCACTATACGTGGAGGGTTCAGAGACTTACCTGTCCCACTAGTAACTGGGGCCCCTGACATAGCATTTCCCCAAACAGATAACATAATAGGTTTCAGGTCTGCTTTCCAAATCTTTCGCCACAAAGTCCCCCCACTGGGGCACAGCACGCTCTGTCTGTCCCTGGGCTGCGACACTCCTGCTCTGTTCTTCTGCCTCTTCTCTTACTTTCCAAACTAGGTTTCCTCCTTATGCTTCAGGGCACGGATCATATTTTATATTTACCTCCTACTTTGACTCTGAGGGACTGCCTTTTTAGTAAAATAACTATAAAACTATCATAATTGGATAAGTTCACCTTAAGATAGAAAAGTATCAAGAGTTACAGCATCTTTTATATAATTTCAGTTTAGTTAAAAAGGTATGGTGGGTCCAGAAGCATATGGGGTAACTGAGCCTGCAACTGGCTTCTGCCAACCCACAGTCCGCCACCGTCGCTGTCACCAACTCCTTTCAAGTTCCTTGATGAAGTGACTTTCACGTAACGTGCTCTCTTGCTATTACAGACGTTATCTTCTATGTGTCAACTGTATCTCATTAAATTGTAAAAAATATTACCTTCTGGATTCAGGTTCCTCATATTCTTAGTCTTCAATGCGTTGAACGGTCTTACTTGAATCTGATGTTCTAAGATTGAGTCAGGATAGCGGTCAAAGAAGATCTCATTGACAGCCATGTCGAAAGTTGGGATAACTTCCTTTAAAAACAAGTGTAACGGTGCCAAGCTGTGTTTGTATTTTTATCTTAGGGTTAAATCTAATAAAGCAATTCATGTTAGCAAGGCATAAAAACAAAAAGAATATGGCATAATCCAAAAGCATTACCCTATAAAATCACACATGCTATTTGTAAACCCTTGGGCACACTGAAATCTCTCACCTCTGCATCTTCTCACTAGAGTTAAATGAGATGAGACATGGACTTCCCTGGTGGTGCAGTGCTTAAGAATCCCCCTGCCAATGCAGGGGACACGGGTTCGAGCCCTGGTCCGGGAGCAACTAAGCCCGTGCACCACAACTACTGAGCCTGCACTCTAGAGCCCGCGAGCCGCAACTACTGAAGCCCGCGCCTAGAGCCCGTGCTCCACAGCAAGAGGAGCCACCGCAGTGAGAAGCCTGCGTACCACAACCAAGAGTATCCCCCGCTCTCCTCAACTAGAGAAAAAGCCCACACGTAGCAATAAAGACCCAATGCGGCCAAAAATAAATAAATTAATTTAAAAAAATGAGATAAGACATATAGTCGTGCCTTCAGGATGTGCTGGCATGACTGTAGGCTTTTAATTGGCAACAGAAGATCATACTTTCACGTCTTACTTTTCTTACATAACAGAATGATACCAAAATGGGTTAAATCATAATTATTCCAATTTGTTAACACCTGTTCCCCATTTTGCAGGTAAGGAAACAGACTCTGGGAAGCTGAGGAACTGGACCAAGGTTACACAGCTATTAAGCAGCAAAATCAAGATTTAAAACCAAGTCTGTCTGCCTCCAAAGCCTAAAGCTAGAATCAGTGTAGCTGATGCTTTGCTGATAAAGCCTGACCTTAAGCCCAGAGAAGACTGCAGTATGGTTAACACAACCTGTTAGAGAAGGCAGGTGTGTGTAAGTGTTTTCGTTTAATATGTTTTAAGTCATCAAACCCAACAAGCTGTCAATCGTGAGTCACCACTGTTTTATGTACTAAGAAATGCTGCCAACCAAACGATGACATGCTGTCAACAATAACACACACCCCGATTTCTAATGTTAACGTGTGGAAAAGTGTTCATCTTAAAGAAGACAGAACATGGTTTTAAGAGGTTTTGGGGCACTTCCCTGGCGGTCCAGTGGTCAGGACTCCTCGCTTCCACTGCAGAGGGCATGGGTTCGATCCTTGGTGGGGGAACTAAGATCCCACATGCCATACGGCAACCCCCAACCCCCAAAAGGTGTTTTGGAGGCATATTCTCTGTTCCTAAGGAAACCTACTGTCCAGAAACCCTGCAGATCTTCTAGATGTTTACTGCAGACCCCCAAGTTCAATGGCAAATTGTTACCTGTGGGTAGCAGATGAGCTGTCTGTATAGATTTGTGTCGAATGACCTTATATGTTCACAGTTTACGTTTAAAAACGGCTCTCCAATAACGTTAATCTACAGGGCAGAACAAACAAGTTATATCCTGCTAACCATTTCAACCCGTAGTTTGAATTTTCAGGTTAGCGTATTTCATTACCTCCCCAAGTCGCTGCATGTACAGAGGCTCAGTAACGTCTATGCCAATGCTTTCTTCTTCTCTAGCCAGAGGATCGATGAAACGCTGAAGAAATCTCTTAGCGTGGGGAGAGAAACAGTAAGCTTAATGCAGTTAGGAACCAGCAACTACTCAAAATAAAAGTTATGAATGCTGGGGGCCATTTATGTTTTCAAGTTAGCTAAGACCTAGAAACAGCCCAAGTGCCCATTTATAGACAATTGGCTTAAGAACATGTGATATATACAGATTTATATATGTATCCACATAATGGAATATTACTCAGCCATAAAAAAGAATGAAATTTGCCATCTGCAGCAACATGGGTGCACCTAGACAATGTTATACTTAGTGACACAAGTCAGATGAAGACAAATACTATATATCATTTTCGTGTGAAATCTAAAAAGTAACACAAATGAATCCATATACAAAACAGACTCACAGACACAGGAAACAAACTTATGGTTACCAAAGGGCAGGGGGATGGGGGGAGAGAGGGAGGGAAGGAGGGATCAATTAGAAGTATGGGATTAGCAGACACAAACTACCAGCCTAAAAGTAGAAAAGCAACAAGAATTTACTGTGCAGCATGAGGAATTACATTCAAAATCTTACAATAACCTACAATGGAACATAATCAGCAAGAGAAGCGTAACCAAATCACTTTGCTGTACGTCACTGTGCTGTACACACGACACTACTGCATTACCGGAAGTCAACTATACTTCAAAAACAGCAAACTAGGAACCGTGTCAGAATTTGGAGACAAACATAGGTGTTATTCTTTTTCCTAAAAACTGAAGCAAAAAAAACAAAACAAAACAAAACAAAAAAACTGAAAAAGACACCAGCAATTCTGAGCCATGTGAAGATCTGCTCCTAAATACCGGGGTCACGTGGATGGAGGTAACAAGTACTTTCCCCCACATCTCCGGAGCCCCGAGGAATGGAACCTCACCTGAAAGTTTTCTTTGCACGTTGCCACATTTACATCTGTTCCCCAAATCACAAGTTTTTGGCCCAAAGACTGCTCGCTCGCCACTATATCCTCTGCGGCCGGCTGCACAGGAAAGGCGACGGGAGCAGGTTTGAGGAGGACGGCCCACCTCGCGCGGCCCAGCGCGCCCTGAGCGGCCCCGCACTTACCCCGTCCGAGTGCAGGTCCACCTGCAGCCCTTTTCGCGCCGAGCCCAGGTCGGGCCTCTGCCGCACAGGCGTGCCGCGCACGCCGCTCCTCGGGGTGCCCTCCACCCGTGAGCTGGGGGTGCCGTAGGTCAGCGGCGAGCTCACGTCCAGATCCAAGGGGACGGCTAGGGACCGCGTCCATGGGGGTGAGCGCGGCGAGGACCCCTGCGAGGCGTCCGCTCCCCCCGCCCGGCCCCCCCGGCCCTGCGGGCCCCCCATGCCCGAGCGGGCAGCGCACCTGCGGGCGGCGCGCGGGTCGGGCTGCGGGGCTCTGCGCCGGGCGACGCGGGCAGCGGCCGAGGCTCTCCCGACGACAGCGGGTCCTGACCTGTGGGGGAACGGGCACGGCGGCGTCGGCGCGGGCGGCACTGGGGCCGAACTGGGCTGACACGGCACCGCCCGCCCTGCCTCCCCGAGGACCCCGCGGGGCACGGCCGTACGCGGACACTCACGTGGCTGAGCGGGGGCGGCCCGCCGGGAGCCGCGGCGGCTCGGAGTGGACGCCGGGGACGACATGGCGGGCTGCGCGACAGAGACGCGGGCTCGCGGGGACGCTCCCTGAAGACCCCCGCCCCTCTCCCCTCACTCCGGCCCCCGGCCCCTCGGCCTTCCCCCCAGCACCGCCGACCCCGGCAGACCCCCGCCCTCCGAGCCGGCCGGACCCAACCAGGTTTCCCGCCGGCGGCACCGTTGTTTCCGCCCCCAGCGGCGGCCCACCAATCGCAGCAGTGCCCTCGCGCAGCCCCGCTTCCGGGAGGCACCACTGTGCAGCGGCAGGGGGGACCCGACGGCCGCCCCGCGCCTCGCGGGACGCCGACGCGCAACTCGCTCGGGGCTCCCCCCGCTCTGGTGGTCTTGTCCGAAGCCCGAATGCGATTTCGCGGGAAATTTGGGGAGGCAGCCGGACAGCGTTCGGGGGCCGGCCTCTACAGGGCGTGCCTAAGGAGGAGCCGCTCCTGTGTCCCTTGGGAATACAAACGACACCCCTCTCCCCCGGCCCTCCTTTTCAAGGGCTAGCTGTAGCGCCTGACCCAAGCCGTAGCCTGTTTCTTTCTGCCTCGGGCACTCGGTCAATTCCAATTCGCCACTTGTCCTCCGCATCTATTTCCGGAGGTCGAGCGGTTGGATTCCTGATTCTCCCCGAGTTTTGACGTATTGTGCTAAGTGTACTGTGGGCCACACATTCATAAGCCTGCCTCTATCTTAAAGCACGTCTAAGCCGTTGATCCTGCAGGGAGGGCTCCCTCCGCGATGGTCTTCGACAAGGTGCCCGCGCTCGCGCCCGCGCTCGCCCCCGGGGCACTTCTGCGCCCGGGCCCGATGTGCTCACTCGTCGAGGACCCCGCCCCATTCAGCCCGCTAAGGCCCCGCCCCTCGCAGGATCCCGCCCCCTGCCTCAGGGGCACTTCCGGGCCCGGACAGCTGTGCGCACGCACCGGAAGTCCGCCCCCCCCGCCCCGTTCCACTAGGCACTTAAGGCCCGGGTGGCTTGCGCGCACGCGCTGGTGTTGTTGGGCGTCATGGCGGACGCGGGGTCTGGCGTGCGGGGTACTCTGCTTCAGTTACAGGAGTACTTGTCCGCGGCCGACCGCTGCGGAGCGGCGGTGGCCAGTTGTCAGCTGCTGCGGGCTCTGGGGCAGGAGTGCGTGCTGAGCTCCGGCCCTGCCCTGCTGGGTGGGTACGGCTCCGGGCTTCCGACAGCCCGTAGCCCGGCAGCCCTTGCGGGTCCGGCGTGGGAGCCTCGGGCGGTGCTTGAACGGGCTGGTCGGAATTCGTGATGTGTGTAAAAGTGGTTTGTCAGCTTCCTCTTTTTTTAACGGCAGAGGAAAGGAATTTTAAAACCAAAGGTGGTGAAAATGACCCGAGTTTGGTATCATTGCTATCCGCGGTGGGGAGGGACGAGAGGAGACTATTTTCTTCCACCTCAGTGTCGCCTAAACCCACCAGCACCTTTTCCAAACCCCTGTGTTTGCTGAGAAGCAAGCCATGCTGTTCTTTTAATTCTTTAGCAATGCCTAGATGAGAACTTTTCCTTTTGCAGCAACGGTGCCTCATTTCAGCATTTTTAAATGTGTCATCGCGTGAAAACATCTGTGATATTCCCTTTTTTTTAAAAAAAGGGAAAGTGAATCTTTTATTTTTTTAATTTCATTTATTTTTGGCTGCATTGGGTCTTCGTTGCTGCGCGCGGGCTTTCTGTAGTTGCAGCGAGCGGGAGCTGCTCTTCGTTGCTGTGCACGGCCTTCTCACTGCGGTGGCTTCTCTTGTTGTGGAGCGCAGGCTCAGTAGTTGTGGCGCACGGGCCGGCCCAGGGCTTGAACCCGCGTTGGCAGGCGGATGCTTGACCACTGCGCCACCAGGGAAGTCCCAGTGTTATTCCCTTTTAAAGCTGCAAGTATGCAGACTCTTCACGTTGTGTCCGCTTTAATTAGAAGGTAGATGAGATTTTCTTCCTAAGAAAGTCATTGTTGAATAAGGTGGAGAAATACTGTAAGAAATGTCTTGAAGAAGATGCTGTGCAGTACCTATATGTTGTTAGCGGTGTATTAATGGGGAAATTAATGACCAGACAGCAGCATCATTGTGTAAATGCTTTCTAGTCTGAGTTTTAGGGGTTCAATTTTGTTCCTTTAGTAACGTTTTGTAAAGCAGTTCCAGGTTCACTCTGCATATCCAGGGTGTGTCCTTTTTCTTGAGAGATTATAGGGGAGAGTACTAGTTTTCTGTTGGTGCTAAAACGTACCACTGGCTTGGTGTTTACAACAGCGCAGGTTTGTCAGTCTTATAGTTGTGTGGTTGGAAGCCCAGCACGGGTCTCATCAAGCTGAAACCAACGCAGCAGGCAGGGCCACTTTCCTTTTCTGAAGGCTCTGAGGGAGAATTCTTTTCCTTTTTCATTCAGGTTGTTAGCAGACTTCAGTTCCTTGCAGTTGCAGCACTGAGGTCCCTTTTTCCTTGCTGGCGTTCCTTGCTTCTAGAAGACCCCTGCATTTCTTGGATTACGCTGCCCCCCTCCCCCTTCCTCCATCTTCAAAGCCAGCAGCAGAGGGTCAAGAGACATGCTTGGAATCTGTCCTGCTTTCCTGTACTCCCTCTCCTTCCCCCCTCTTCCACTTGTGAGAGAGCCCTTGTGATTGCATTGGGCCCACGTAATGGCCCAGGATGCTCACCAGTTTAAGGTCAGCTGATTAGCAACCTGATTTTCATTCGCCATGTAAAGTTAGCATATTCACAGGTGTGACACTAGGAATTAGGGTTCTGGCATCTTTGGGGCCAGTATTCTGCCTACCTCATTGCTGTGAAACATCTAGAATTTCCCGTTTTCCTTGTCAAAATACGGCAGCATTAGGCTAGTGTTTTATCACTTACGAGGCTGAATTGAGAAACAAGCAACACCTTTAGGGTGGGATTATGGAGTACCTGAATTGAGAAACAAGCAACACCTTTAGGGTGGGTTTATGGAGTACCATGGCAGCTCTCTTATTTGTTTTGTTTGTTTGTTTTTTCCAGCATTACACACGTCCTTAGTTTTTTCCAAAGATTTTGGTTTGCTTGTATTTGTTCGGAAATCACTTGGCGTTGATGAAGTAAGTTGAAGACATTCACTTTGCTCTTCTAGTACATTCCTTCACGTTGAGGTGACTTTTTTCTTAGCCGTGTTTCTGTAATGCTTATTTTTTTTATTATAGTTTCGTGATTGTAGAGAAGAAGCCCTAAAGTTTTTATGTGTTTTCTTAGAGAAAATTGGTCAGAAGATCACACATTATTCTCTCGATATTAAGGTAAGGAGGAAAAAACATACCTCGTTATATACCAGTGTCCCTTTTAATTTATGGTGTAAGTTAAACTTAACTTTATTTCTGCCTTTCTTGTTGGGGAGTTTATTTTTGCTTGATTGTGTTAGAAATTAAGTGGCTATTTTTAAAAAAATTTAATGAGCTAAGGCCCTTGTGGAAAGTATTAAATTGTAATATATACTGGTATCACTCCTCCGAGGAGTAGTTTTAGCTGTTAAGTCTTAGTTATAAGAACTAAAGTCTTATTGATGATTTTGATATGTCTCCTTTTAAAACCTAGAATACTTGTACCAGTGTTTATACAAAAGATAAAGCTGCTAAATGTAAAATTCCAGCCCTAGAACTTCTTATTAAGGTAATTTAAAAAATATTTCTAAGCGCATGTGTTTTCAATTAAATATATATCTTGAACTGAAAATTGGAGTTTTGGGTTATGTTTTGGGTGAGAGATGTTGTAGAATCACATTGATGTGTGGAGAAGATGCGTGTTTCCCAGCTGTCACCCAATAACAACCTTGGTATTTTGCCTTCACACCCTTCTGGGTAGCAAAGGGAGAAGTTCGGTTGCGAGGGGTATGAAGGGAAGGGAGCGCGGAGTGTAAGGAATTGACTGCCCCTCCATTACTCTTACCCTTACTGTGAAAACCTAAACGCTGCTAAGAATTGCCAGAGTTCATCTCATTGTGTCTTTGAATGTCTTCCTAAAATCTTAACACTGGTATGGGTCTGTGTGTTCTATGTAAGTGGTCATTGGGCTCACTCTCATCTAGGTATCTGTTTAGATGTGTCTCTCTTTTAGAATTTCTTTGGGTCTTGTTGGTCCTTGTCTTAAAATGTCTCTGAGAACATGTGTCTAGTCATAGTATACTTTTCTTGGGAAGGTGAAATTAAGTCTACCTCCCCTTCCCCTTTGTAGCCCCTGTTTTTCCACCACCCACCTCAACCCGTCCTCCCAAATAACGTGGCTGGATAAGAGCCCTGAGAGGCGGAGAGTGAGTGCCCTAGAGACACGTGGGTGTGGAGGTCCACTGTGTGTGAGCAGGTGCTGTAGATGGAAGCCTTTTTGCTGCTGTCTCTGTACACTCGGCTACCTTGTGTTCTTTCAGTTACTTCAGACTTTGAGAAGTTCGAGCCTCATGGATGAATTTAGAGTTGGAGAATTATTTAGCAAGTTCTATGGAGAACTTGCATTGAAAACAAAAATACCAGATACAGGTGAGCTGTATTTAAATGTTATTTTAAAAAATATTTTAACAAATTAAACAATTATTAGCATAAAACTTAGGTTTTCTCTGCCGTGGTATTTATGTGCTTTACAGATGAATTCTTTTTACTGAAAACAAACCAAAATGGAGACAAGAAACAATGTGTGAAGTCTTACAAAAATTGTAATCTTTACAAAAGATTTCTTTAAATGGAAAACTCACAACGCGTGTCAAATGTAATTTAGTTTATAATAATAAATTTGCATAAAACATCATGGAAGATTCAGTACATAAAACTAGATATTTTGTGGGGCTTATCGTGAAATTATTTTGAACTGAACAGCCTTTCATTTTCTTATTTGTGCATTTTTGTTTAATTTATTTAAGTGATTTTAGGCCTAAATTTGTCTAAAATTTATTTTTCAGTTCTAGAAAAGATATATGAGCTCCTAGGAGTATTAGGCGAAGTTCATCCTAGTGAGATGGTAAATAATTCAGATAAACTCTTCCGGGC